TAGTAAAAAGAAAAAAAAAAAAAAAAGCCAATTAAAAAAAAAAGCTATACTTATCTGTTTATATAATATCGATCTGTGTAACAGGGGGGGTAGCGATATATCGTATATGCGAAAAAAAGATAAAATTCATATGTATATTTGTTGATCATCAATTATATTGTTATTTTAATTTTATAATATATATATTTGTTAATCATTAATTATATTGTTATTTTAATTTTATAATATATATATTTGTTGATTATCAATTATATTGTTATTTTAATTTTATAATATATATATTTGTTGATCATTAATGATATTATTATTTTAATTTTATAGTAAGTTGGCGAAGTTTATATTACTTAGTAATTATAGTTTCAAATTACACTATACTAGAAAAATAGAAGATTATTCTGAGTTTTACTGAACTGAACAAGGATAATTTCTATTATTTTTCAAAAACCTAACTCAGATTCCAAGTTATATCTTTGGATTGCTATAGCTTGCAAACATGTATAAAGAAAAATCTCATACTAATGAATTTTATAATTTTTAGTTATTATTAAAATTTAGATACCTTCTTAAAAATTCTTTTTTTCTTTATTGAAAAAGCTTTCAAATAAACTTTTTTCTAATAAAGAATTCAACAAACAAATATACAAGATGACAACACCTGATATTTCTGAATATTCTTATTTATATTTGTTTGATGACGAATATTATTCAATAATTGCTTTAGAACTAAAAGAAGGTTCTACTATATGACATATAACAGAAATTGCTTTACAAAATATGGAGATGTTAACAAAAAATAAAGTTCATTGTGTAAAGTTGATGAAATTCAAGCAATTAAAATATCACATGAATGGGATAACGAAGATAGTAAATTATTTGGGGTTAAAGAATTGTTTTTTCATTTAGGACAGCATTATCAAATTTATAAATTCTTGTAATATAATTTTTGTTATCTGTATCTATTTTTATTATTTGTATATATTTTATATTTATTATTTATAATAAAATTATTTTTGTTAAATTCTAATTCTGTATCTGTATTATCAGTGTTTTGTGAAGTAAGTAAAGATAGCTACACTAACGGTGCAGATGTATTTACTTTACTATTATCTTGCAAAACACTAATATTAGATATAATAATAGTAGTTAGTATATAAATAATTAAAAAACTTTGTTAATAATAAGGGTGTGATGACATAGAGTAGTGATTAAGTTGTCACCCCCAAGCAGCAGGTCTAGAGTTTGATTTTCACCAGAGACGTTTTTCAAAAAATAGGCCTGTATTATGATAATATTTATTCAACGATCAGTTAGATATTTCATCTGTAAACTTGATACCATCATCTTGAAATAGAAGCTTTAGGCCAATCCAAATCCAAGGAATCGGAATATTTAAAACCTATTTGGCAAGATTTAAGCTAAAAGTAGTGAAGATCTTTGACAATATTACAGAAAACCAGAACTGGTAACTGAAAAACCAGATAAATAACCCTGAAGCAAGAAGGGTCTACCAACCTGGCCGCTAAAGTCATATCAGAGGAAAAGGTCTGATACTATTAAATTTAGAACCAAGAAAAGTAAAACCAAAAAGTACTTAGAGTCTAGGTATAACAACACTTCTAGACTAACTGGTTTAGTATTTGGGAGGGATCAGTATAAGGGCCGGTTGGAAATGGATATCAGGATCATAATGAACCTTGTAAAGGGCAAGGAGTAGATAATGGTAGTAGTGCAAAAGATTGCAAGTTCTAGTCCTTGGATTGGGGTATATGTTACCAAAAAACCCAGGTAATATATATATAAGATATGAACCGCTCTGGTAGGTTTACCACGAGGATAAAGTAGTTCTAAGAGGTCTTAATAACAGGAATTCTTCCAGAGAAAGCATCTGACAGTGTTAAGTTGATCAGAGAGTTTAAATAGGAGATCTATAAGCAGATCCTAGATATAGCAATTGGTAGATAACTATAGATAGAATAGATATAGCGGAGCCTTTAATTAAATAATGACTAAAATTGTATGTATAACCAATTATACTCTCGTTCAGTATTGTCATAGGACAGTTGTAGATAGTAAGTTTAGACACTTTAGACAATTTTGAACAATTAAATAAATTAAAATTACTTAAATTTTTATTAAGATAATCTATATTAATTTCTAAGTAAAATATGTTTAGCACATAAAAAAATATATAATTATATATTTTT